TATATGCACACCAATGTTCATAGCAGCACTATTTACAATAGCAAAAAGATGGAGACAGCCTAAGTGCCCATCAACTCAAGAATGGATAAACAAACTGTGGTACATACACACAATGGAATACTATGCTACCTTGAAGAAAAACAAGGAGGCTGCAAGCTACCGCATAACATGGATAAACCTTGAGGCTATTATGTTGAGTGAAATTAGTCAGTCACAAAGGGAGAAATACTGCATAGGACCATTAAATGTAAAAGACTAAGAAAAAAAAAAATACAATCTGGCTGCTGATCTGATGTGAACTAATTTCTCATTACTTTGTTTATGCATTTGTAAGCACACGAAGTAGTACTGCAATCCTATTTTTATGAACTTCTAAATATAGAAGTTTCTATATCGAGTGCCAAGGAGTCATGGTGTTACACTGTAGGATAAAGCACTGAACTATGGGTTGGTTGGCTTGAACCGCAAGGCAGCAGTTCAAAACCACCAGCTGCTCCTTGGAAATCCAAACAGGGTTGTTATGAGTTGGAACTGACTCAACGGCACTTAACAACAACAACAAAGAGTGCCAAAGAAGGGGATTTTGATTTTCACTAATGCACATTACTTTTAGCAGAAAGCTTTCTAAACCCAGAAATCTGACAAATGAGATATGCGTGTAAATGGCCTTTAGCTTTGCAGTATTATACAGATGTAAAATATCATGAAAGCTTATTCATTCAAACTGTCATATTCAGTCTGTTCCTTAGGAAGTAGGAAACTGAGAACAGACAAGACAGGTGAGAAAGGATGAATAGTTTTACTACACACAGCTAATTTACTTCCTGATCAAATTCTGTATCTCTTACATGACATTCTGCTATTATACAGAGGATCTTATTATTCCATGTGTTGAATATTTCTTTTTAATTAGTATTCAAGTGATAGGGTCTGAAAAGCTCTCTAAAGCACAAGAACATGAAATCATAACCAGAATGAATAGATTCAGACACCAGTGAGGCAGATAAAATCAATTACAGGAAAAAACTGTCCTTGTAGCACTGCACCAGGGATGGATCCCCTTCTTGCATGGGTATGTATCCTATACCTTGTTTTAACTTAAGTCTTTGCCTTTAACTTCTACCATTCCTGCTTACTAATGTTTACTTTTGGTTGACAAAGGGCATAATGATCAAATCAATTAATAAGCTGGGAAACTGAATCAAGCGCTAAAATGGTTTACCCAGGCTGAAACAATAAAATCTGTCCTATAATAATACAAGGGGGCTTCAGAAAGTTCATAGAAAACTTGGATGATCTTTTAATGAAAAATTTCCATGAAGTTTTTGAAGTCCTTCAGTAGTCGTGGTGTGGCACTGTGGGTGCTAGACTACAAAGTAGGTTTGAATCGTAAGGTTGGCAGTTCAAGCTCACTAGCCACTCCTATGTTGGTGTTGTTATGTGCCGTGGAGTCGGTTCCAACTCTTAGTGACCCTGTACAGGGTTTCCAAGGCTGTAAATCTTTACGGGAGCAGAAAGCCTCATCTTTCTCCTGCGGAACAGCTGGTAGTTTTGAATTTCTGACCTTGCGGTTCGCAGTCTAATTCGTAACCACTGCGCTACCAGAGCTCCTTTGGAAACCCTATACAGGGTCACTGTTGGTTGGAACTGACTCAACAACATATACCTGAAGAAAAATATGGACTAGTATGAGCAATACGTCCAATTCTGATCCATAAACATCAACCACATGAAAATTAGATGTGGGATAGGTAACAGTGCTACCTGGGAAAAATTCTCAGTTATTAGCAGATTGTTGTTGTTAAGTGCAGTTGAGTCAGTTCTGACTCATAGTGACCCTGTATAGAATTTTCAAGGAGCAACTGGTGGGTCTCAACTGCCAACCTTGTAGTCAGAAGTCCAGTGCAGATCCTACAGTGCCACAGTCAATAAATCAGGAATTATAAGTCTCTCCCCCAAATTGAGAATGCATTAATAAAAATGTGTAGAGTCAATACATCAGAGTTACGGGGGAAAGGGGCTTAACTAACTTAAGAAATACCTTTCTAATACTCATTGCCAAAGGTTATACTACATGACTTTTAGGATTAGCTTTCAACCTTGAAATTCAATAATTCTGTTTTAGGATTCTGGAAGAGTATTATGAAAGGACGCATATTCAAGAACACTTAATTATGCCTCATTTGAGGTAAAGACATCACCTCTAGAAACTTATCCCTCTCTAGAGTTCAGAAGGAGTCTCCTTTTAAAAAGATGCCCACTGTAAATATGTTCTTGAGGAAGCCTAAGAAGAACTGCAAAGAGACAAATATTTCCAGCAAAGAATACTAAAGAATTGTCATTCTCCCAATGATTCAATCTACCTGGGCTTGCTAACGTTGAATTTGAGAGCTAGGTAGGTTTATCAAATAAACGTATTTAGAAAAATTATGCCTTTGAGGGGCTTAATAGTGACAAGCATTAGTAGAAATTAGATGATAGATTCAACAGGAAGAGGCATACTCTTTCATTAGTCAAAGTATAAAGTTTTTGGTTCTATTGCTAAAATATCATTAAAGAAATCCTTGTGGCAAAAATGTACTAGAAAACAGGAACAGAAATAGAAAGACAAGAGCTCACTGAGAACTCACAAGTGCTTGGGTATGCATCCCCTGCTCAGATCCACCTTATTTTGGCTGTGCATTCCAACTTACTTCCCAAGTAAACTTTTTCTGTGATCACTTGATGCTTTCCATAGGGAACAAGGCCACAAATTAGAGAGAATGACCACGCTTCCTTCTCATGAATAGTGAGAAGGGAATTTCTTTTCCCTGCAAGTATTACTACAACGAAATCCAATTTCTGCTTTCCAAGAAAATCCAATTGACTTGGAAGTTTCTGAGAAGAAGGGAAGGGTGGGGCAGAAAGTCCAACGGATAACCACCCCACAAAATTCTACAGCAAATTTCTAGTCTTTTAACCTTACATCAGTCAAAGGGTTAAAACCTGAATGTGTCCGCTGAGTTGCGAATGTACAGGTGGAAAGTCTGAAGTGTGGGAAGAGATCCTCGGTTCACTTTGTGACCATGCTGGGAAAGCCCTTATTTGTAAGAGAACCCTCACCCGGCCCCAAATATTAAGTTGACACACGTTTCTCGGATGCGGCTTGAATCCTCAAACTTTGGCGGGTCTATAGAGACACAATTTTCTGTTTTCTGCTTAACAGGGCTTTCCAGAATTGTCATCAGATGACAGATTACACCGCCCATCCACAAGAATTCAGGGGTAGCTCAGGCCATCCATTATGGGTTAAAAGCTGTTCCAGCATGAATCGTGTCACAGTGGTAAGAAGACTATCGATACAAGGGGTCCTACAGCTTTAAGAAGTACCCTGGGCATCTAAAAGTTTTCAGAATGCAAACTATGTCAGCTCTGAAAACAAGAGGCACTGCATCATTATGGCAGGAGAAACAAAGCAAGCCCCCTTTTAAAAACAGACAAAAAAATAAAAGATTGTTTTAATAGGAAAGAAGCATCAGTCATTGATTCTTACTTCATTCACACTTTCTATCCAAGCCCATCCATCTTCAGAGTGAAGAGATGACAGAGCCCAGTTAACTCTCTCTCTGGGCCCCCGCCCATCCTGCTCCTCTGTACCCAAATCACCAAGGCCTACCAACAAACCCATTTCAGTCTGCAAGTAACAGTCCAATGGAACTGCTCTTTCTATCAGATGGACCTACCAAGGTTCAGGTATGCCTAAGTACCAGCTTTCACCACATCACTGTAATAGGATCGCCTGTCACATTAGTATTGACTAGTCAGGCCTTTGCTAACCATCTTCATAAATGACCACTTAGTCACTCATGGCTGACCACATTCTACAGAGAAGGGGATGGGAAGACTTAAGGCAGCAGGAAAAAGTCAACAACCCAAACCAACAAACAAGAATGTAAAATATTTCATTCTTCTTAAATGCTTCTACCCACATTATCTACAAACAAAAGTTCTCCATACAAGCAGTCTCTGCATCAGTGCCCCTGCTTAGCATTGGTTTGCTGAGTTATCTTTTTGCTGTGTCTGCAGAAGCCAACTACAGCACAATGGGTCGCATCACTTGAGGGTCACTTGAGTCTCTCTACCCTCTGGGTCCCTCCTCCCACCCCCTGTTTCCCCTCTACCCACAAAATCTTTAACTCCACCATTGCTAAGGATCCCAGATAGCTAAATAAAAGAGGTGGCCTCAAACACAGGGAAAACCCCTTAGGTCTCCAGTGTGAATCGCCAACGCCAATCCCCCTTCCCTCCCCTTTTTCTTAAGACCTGATGGTCTTCAGTCACACATCTTAAAAGAAAAACAAAAAACAAAAACACAAAGACTTACTTGTCTCAAGTCGATGAAGGCCAACTGCAGCGTGTCCTCCTGGAACCCAGGCACCGGGCCGGATCTGGCAAACTCTGTGGGAAAGAAAAGAGGATAAAAAGCGCCTTTAACTAACCATGGACAGGGAGATTGGCAGACGGATGACAGGGAAGACAAGAGAGGCTGGGGGAGAGGAGGACCAAGCTTCTAAGGAGTCATGTCTCTCTCCCTTCAGCTTCTTTGTTCGCCCTTCAAAATTCGTGTCATCAAAACACCATTAATTCCAGCGTCCTGACAGCAAGGAAACTGTACTAATTCGACCTGAAATTTATTCCCATGAGCCGCGCTGGGCTTCAGAGTATTTGTTTTGTGAATGGACAAACAACTTGCAAAAAGAATGAGGGAGGGGGAGAGAGAAAAAAGTTTTTCCTCTCAACACAATAAAATCTTCAGCTGTGAAACTCTTTTCAGTTCCGAAAGCTATTTATATTTTAGATCGCTGAAGGAATTTTCTAATTTCACGCCTGTCACCTCATTCCCCAAGCATTTATCAAAAAATATTCCCTGCCACATCATTAATTATTCCCTCACTGATTATTTGTAGTATCTCATGAGTGCATTATTGCCAACACACGCACACAAATACACACATACACACACACCACAAACACCTCAGCAGTAGACGCTGCCCCAATCTAGTGCTTGGTTTTTGAGGAAGGACTATTTGCAGATATGAAAAGACTCTTCTGAATAAATCTCACGTAAAAACTTGAGAATATTTGCACACACCAGGTTTCTGGTGTATTCTTTGTCCTTGACTTCTACTTCTTTTCCACTCAAAATTTCTTTCTTCACTTCTCTTGACCCTCATTTTAGTCTTAGGTCAAGGAGATCATGTGGATGCTATTTGCAATTTACAGTAGTGCCTTGGGTACATGCTTAGTTTATGACTCTGGCTTCTACATCGTTAGCAAGAAGATAACTGCATAGGGCTATAGGGACAAATACTAGTAACAGTTAAGAATGTCAAGTTTTATTGTCCCTGAGTCCTGCTTATTATGAAATCAAAAGCTCTTGTATAAGCTAACTACACACATACACATGCATAAGAAAATTCAAAGGTTAGATAGTTACAATATCTTCAATTCTCTCTGTGGAGCCCAAATGTGATGCACGTTTAACATCAGTCTACTGTTTACTTCAAAATCAACTAAAATGTCTCTGTGCTGAAAGCGTATATGAAAAAGGAATGTTTTCCTTTCAACTATATTTTTTCCATGATTGAATTTAAGGGTTGGCATCACATTGTTCTTATGAAATTAAATAAAAACCACCAAGATATATGCATATATGGGCGAAAATTATTTCCAACAATTAGTAGTTGGATAGAGTCAAATACTGATCTATTAATAGTTATTAAATATAATGACAGGAATTTCTGCTGAATAAAAATATTTTCCATCTTGAGCTTCTTAGACATAAAGGGTTTTTCATAAACTCATCTCAGTACTTTAAAAAATAAAAATAACAATTTAAATTGTAGGAGCTATGGAAAAATTATGTGCAATGACATTTCAAAAAATTATTAAGTTAGCTAAAATATAGCTAATTTAAATTAACCAACTGTTCACGAAACATCATTTTAGATATTCAAGTACAAATGGCTCTCATACACTGAAGGAGCTAAGCTGTATAGCAAGATTAATGTAATAGTTTCTATTTGCTTTGAGAAAATTCAAATGCCATTTTAAAATTAATTCTATCATATGTATAGCCCAGCTGATTAAAGTTTAAAAGAATAACATTTTTCAAATATACAAGTACTTTACAAAGGTTATTATTAATAGTAAGCTTGATATAATCTACTCTTCATATCTTATTAATAGTCATTGTCTGTGGTTACCTCATATATAGGGATTGCTCCTGTCAAAACTAGTTCTTTGAATATAGTGACAGTCATTCTTTCTGACAGTCTGGACTGGCAGATGGTCAGCTTAAATCAGCTCTATGCCTGATGGTTTTCTCCAAGGTTCATAGGTTACCACTACTGCTCTTGCATGACTCAGTCTACACTGAATTGCTTGAAGCTGCATGTCCCTGTGCTTTTAAGCTATTTATTATATCCTTTTTATTGGTAAAACTCTATTTCAGTCAAAATATAGCAACTATCAAGATGTTCTGCTGCCCTATAAAAGTCCAACTCAAGAGAATTATCAAGTGATGCACATTTGAATGTTTGGGAGCTGGCTACACATTCTTGAATCTCATTATTGGGTATGCTCCCAGGGGCTAATAGAAGATGCTGACGAAACCACTCAGGAATCTGAATGTGATGCATATTTAGTTTTCTGAGCCTCATTTTATAGACCTCATTTTTATGACACACTGAATCTACTAAGTTCCCAAAGGGTATAGTGACCTTTTAGATTGAGTTTCCCTTTAATAAATCAGGGAATCAATGAATGACTTGCATTGATGACAAAATAAAAGCTTATATTTTCATGTATAGCTAATGGAAATGCTTAATTATTATAAAATCAACTTCATATTTGGAATTATTTCATTGCTATAAAGCAATTAAAATATATATATAAAATTATTGTCTTCCATGTAGATAGTATCACAGGAGAAAGATGAGGCTTTCTACTCCCACAAAGATTTAAAGCCTCAGAAATCCTATACAGGGTAACTATGAGTTAGCACAGATGTAGCAGCATTTAACAACAACAACAAAAACATGCAGATAGTAAACTCCTTAAGGATAAGAACCTTATCACAGAACCTCACATGTATTCAAAATAGCAAATGTTCAACTTATACTTGTGTTTTAATTAAATGTGTTACCCTAACAGCAAAATTCATTAACTGCATGTATACTCTTTATTGCCAATGAGTTAAGGGGTTCTTAACACCTGAGTATCAATATAAGCAAGCTTTAAGGAATTCAAGAGCTCCCTAAAATTGGTGAACAATGATTATGGGAATGGCCTTTGAGGCCCTAAAATCCAGAATTTGAACCCCAGCTCTCCACTTACTAGATCTATGGGTTTGGGAAAATTATTCAATCTCCTATACTTCAATGTCTTTTATCTCAAAAAAGAGGATAATAATAACAGGCAGTAGTTTATACAGAACAAAGGGATACTGCTTAGGTTAAAATCAAGAAAGGTGTGCATCAGGATTCTATCATTTCACCATACTTATTTAATCTTTATGCTGAACAAATAATCTGAGAAGTTGGACCATATGAAGAATGAGGCATCAGGGTTAGAGAAAGCTTCGTTAATAATCTTTTTTATGCAGATGACACAACCTTGCTTTCTGAAAATGAAGCAGCACTTCCATTAGTGCTTCATGCTGCAGGCTGGAGGATCAAAAACTATATAGCCTTCAGGATGAAGTACACCCCAACAAAACAAAAATAAAAACCCTCACAACTGAACCATAAGCAACATCAAGATAAATGCAGAAAAGACTGAAGTTGCCAAGGATTTCATTTTATTCGGATCCATAATCAACACCCATAGAAGCAGCAGTCAAGAAATCAAAGAATGCATTATTACATCAGGCAAATTACGATGCAAAAGACTTCTTGAAAGTGTTAAAAAGCAGAGATGTCACTTGGAAGACTACGGTGCATCTGACCCAACTCATGGCATTTTCAATCACCTCACATGCAGGTTAAAGCTCAATAACAAATCAAGAAGTCTAGAGAAGAATTGATGCCTTTGAATTATGGCAGTGATGAAGAATATTGAATATAATATGGCCTGCTAAGAGAACAAACAAGTCTGTCTTGAAACAAGCACAGCCAGAATGCTCAGCAGTGAAGATGACAATACTTGTATTACATACTTTAGATATACTATCAGGGACCATTTCCTGGAGAAGGACATCATGCTTGGCAAAGTAGAGGGCAACGAAAAAGAGGAAGACCCACAACAAGCTGGACTGACAAAAAAGCTTCAAAAATGGGCTTAAACACAGGACTGTGAGGATGGTGCAGGACTGCGTAGTGTCTCTAGGAGTTGAAACCGATTCTACAGCACCTAATAACAACAAATATTCCCAATAGTTCTGCTATGAGAATTAAATACAATAGCACATGTGAAGCTGTTATCTGTGTACATGGCATATTATAACTGATTATCATTATAGCTAGTAATTGGTTTGAATATGCATTTCTCTGGGAAGAAAGTCCATAGCATTCACTGAGTTCACAGAACATTTGTGACCCAACAGCTACTCAATGAAAATTAAGGAATGCTTACTTTTAATTCAGACAAAACATTATAGAAGAGATCCCGCTACAATTCAGTGATGCATTGTTGTTGTTTGTTGTTGTCAGGTGCCATCGAGTCGGAACCGACTCATAGCGACCCCATGCACAGCAGAAC